TTTGTAAACAATGAAATTCTATCAAATTCATGCAGTTTTTCAATGTCCTCGAAAAAAAATGGTGCCGCTGTCCCGACGGTTTTTTAGAAAAACTGCCGCTTCCGCGTCGCCATGAACATCTCTGTTAGCCAGAAAACTGTAAAAATGTTGAAGTCTAAAGATGTCGAAAGTGCAAAATGTGAGTATGGTGAGGGTCTGGCTGTGACTGTGGGTGGACGTAGAATAGTGTGGTCGAAGATTGATGTGAGCGTGTGGATAAGGAGTGCGGGTGCCGGCGTACTCTTCATCTAAACTCACACTGACACCAGCATTGAAGCAGAAAAATACACGAAAAAATAGCATTAGAAAGTTGAATAAACATGTATAAACTATACAATAATTATTTCATTACAGCATCTAATCTCCTCAACGATTTGTCTTTAATTGTAGCAAAACAAAGTTATCATTGTACAATAAGAATATTTAATGTAAGAAAAAATATAATGATGCAGTAAATAAATGAAATGTAAAGTTTTATTTAAACGAAAAAACATATAACAGGATATTTCGACCTTGTACAGATTTCAATAAATGGTCATCATCAGCTGAAAATGAATATAATAAATAGCATAACTATAACATCAGTAACAAATATAATACGATCTTAACATCATAAATATTAGCATAATCTTAACCTTAATAATCAAATAAATGAAATAAATATTAACATCAAATACATATTATATTATATGATTAAAATTGTCAAGTTCATTTTTTATATTTGAATAAGAATATTATTTAAAATCGATAAACTAATGTTTCAAAGTATTTTGCTTATCTTTTATTTTTTCTCTTTCAATATAATGAACATTTGATTCGAATATAGCTACTTGGTTTTTTAATTTCCTGAACGAGAAAATATTCAGAAGTCTCCAGCTTAGTTTTCGACATTTCTAACGGATGAGGCATTTTTGCATTTCATTTTATCATCACTGAATACATTCTATTAAAAGAAAAAAATATACAAGCACAAGATGCACCGTGAAAAGCTCTACAATTTACAAAGGACAACTTATTTTATAGTTACACTTTTTCTTTTCAAAATCAATTAAATTCTGAGTGATCAAACTTCGATGCTGCGAACATCGGTTACACAGAATTTTTTACTTTTTTTCAAAACAAAAAGTACAGTATTAAAATAAGCTTTACTTTGTAGATTGTAGAGCTTTTCATGCTGCATCTTGTGCTTGTATATTTTGTTTTTTTTAATACAACGTATTAAGTGATGATAAAATAAAATGCAAAAATGCCCCATTATTTCTGCTTCACCCGTTACTTACGAGTAAAGTTGGGAAAATCAGAGCCGAGACCCTGTGGATAAGCCTCTTGAAGGAACTCAAGACCTTTTATTAGTGGATCTTAATAGTGTGTAGGAGGATTTAAAATCTGTTATTGGAACAGGCTGAGCCTCCTTTAGTTAAGTCATTAAATAGCAAGATGAGATTTTCTCCTCGTCTCGTGAACATACCGAATTCACAAATGACTTTTTTCTAAGATATGAATTTATAATTTTTCAAGGCGACTTATTGTATAAAAATTTTTTTCACAAATGTTATATTCTAATAAATCATTATGAAGCACTGAATCTTTTACTTCTATTTGATTCATCGAAAATCTTCAACATTTCTTTCGACAGTGTCTAAAAAATGAAGGTGAAGAGAAAAATAACTTTTCATTTTGTAAGATAGTAAATATTCTTTCTTGTAAATTTTATCGTTAGATGTTTGAAAGATTCTACTATTTTATTAATTACACTTTTTTCTTCTATTTTAGTTCATTGTTTTAATAGATAATCTACATCTTAATGTTAATAACTTTGTTACGTTAACCGCATGTATCAGGTTCAAAGTTTGTCAAACTTTAAAGTAATTCAAGCATCAGTTAGATTACAAGATAAGTCAAAAGAATAAGTTCATATTTTACTAATGAATATAAAAATATATTACAAGTGTAGACTGTCAGGATGGAACTCTATACAAAATATCGTACTAATCTCTTGTAATGGTTACTCTATAAGAACACATGAAAACATTTTTTCTATAAAAATAATTTTCAAGCTTACGAAGGAACTTCCCGAAATATTTAATTGTTTTTAAGACGAGACTATGTCTATAATGTAGACTCTAATGAGTTATGAATATTCTTAAAAGAGTTCGAGTTCTTAGCTTATTGCTACAGAGATACTCCAGCAACACGCCATTTTTTTTTTTCGTAATGCCATAATCCCTCTGGAACACCCGGGAAACTGATTTTCGAACTGCGATTAGAAGTTTTGCACACAGACAGGCCTTAACAAGAATAATTTATTGTGAAAGTTTCAGATCTTTTAATTTGTTTTTATCCTGAAATAAGACTATCGAATCTGCCGGTATATATAGGCGATGTATAAAAAATAAAAGCTTTTACCATAGTCATTTCTAAGGTCATGAACAATGAAAAGATATGCAACTTTCATAGGAAACGATTCTTAGTAAGATCTGTCTATAAGCAAAGTTTTAAATGAACATCAGAAAATCATTTTTCCTAGTGTTCCTGAGAGAACCACTGGTTTGCTTTAAAAATACCGTATTGCTGCAGTATTTATGCAGCAATAAGCTAAGAGCGCGAACTCTTTTCAGAGTACTCAAAGCTCATTTGTGTCTACATCATGCACATAGTCTTATCTCAAAAGAGATTAATTAGTTAGAAAACTTCTCTCATAAGATTAAAGAATTTTTTCAAGTTCATACAGTAGTTGCAAGACATCTCGCTATTGGGTAGCAAAGTACATGAACTTCAATCTTTTTGCCTAATATTTTGACTAGAAATAGAGCTCGATAAAGCTTGATCACAAGCAGCCACCTGAGGTCGATGTAGATCTTAATACAAAGAATTTACGATGAAAACACTGGTTTTCCACTATTTAAATATGTTAACCTCCATTTTCTTATTAACAAATAAAGATTTGCATATCTATATTATGTCACAGATAGGATACTTCAATTCACTGTAATCTTGAGGCGCAGGAAAGCTTCCATTGTTTGGAACGGTTCCAGCATGAATCTCTTCTTTATTTATGACTATGATTGTGAAGTTTTCAAGACAAATGGTTAAAATTAGCCAGAGATATCGGTCATTTTTCAATGATTTCCATCAACTCTCTTGTGAAGATTGCCTAAAGAATAGTTCATAAATCAAGCAAACTAAAATTGTTTGATACGAAAATTGTATTGGTGGATAGAGACAGTACTAATCTATCGAATAAGAAATCTAACGTCATGAAATTTGTGTTCTATGTTGAATTATGCTCGTCTGAAGAAAAAAAACCTATGTTGATCTTCTAACTCCTCCGTATGAAGCTCGGTCAGAGTTCAACATGCTCTATTTGTAGTCCAACTATAAAACTAAAGGATTAAAGTTTAGATACATTTTACAATAACTGTATGTCATATTTCAGCTGACGTTCTTATCTAGCTTTGCACAATCTGATACATGTATTAATCCAAAAGCATTTAGCCAGAATAGTTTTTTTTTTTTATAAGTGATTTATTGTTTTTTTTTTTTGACATCTCATTATTCTTACGTGCCATTTCTACATAATGATTTTTCTCCATCTTTTGTCGGAACTTTTATTCAGATTGAAGAAGTTATCTTGGAATGACATTAATTGTAATAAAAGACGTCTACCTATTTATTTGTCAAATTATAATTGCAATACGACAGCAAAACTATTGTTTTTTCTTCTTTTCGACACTATAATTTCTATGAAATAGTTATATCAATTTTAAAATAAATAATTATCAATAATTCTAAACTGTCGTCGAAATATAACTTTTAATAAATAATATTTTTAGTTTACAGATAGAGCAGTGTTCAGATTTCCAAAAAAGGAAATTACGGAATGTTTGGAAATTTCCAAAATTTCTGTGCTCTTCGAAACTTCCGAAAATACTTTTCTTTGAATTTAAGTGTTTTTGAAGATAATGGGAATTTCCGTAAGTTCCTTTTTTTCGATATCTGAACATACCTCGAAAACAAAGCTTTTCTAATTGAAAAAAATACAAAAATCAGAGAAAACTCTAACCGACTGACCTTCAATACTTAAATTACACTCATAAATGCGTTACTCTTTCACACAATGAACAGTTTTTTAAAGTATCTGAATAATTAGATAGTGAAATCCTTCTCCTTTTCTAGATTTTGAATAAAGAAACAAACTAATCTTCTTCAAATTGTCACAGTACCGTATATGTTTTAGTGACGTCTCTAATCGACAATTTTCGGTTATTGGAGAGGGGCTATTCGCTGCTTCCGACAGTCTTAAATATTGAATTTTGAAGAGAATTGAACAATTGTGAACTCAACAAACAAACATCAGCTAATCAGTCTGAAAAATGTAGTGCGCTTTCAAACTTCAGAGTGTACAGTGCGCACTCCGTTTTCTCAGGCAGAATGTAAACAGAGTGTATTTACGAAAAGTAGATATTCAGCGGACTTTGCAGTCGCAAGCACATTTTGTCATTAGAAACACTGCTGAATATATTTTAAAATACTTTTTTCAGGAATTCTATCGAACAAAAAAAAACGAATCAACTGGTAGACGTCCATGTATATTTCGACTGGAAGTATAAATTAAAAAAATGACTAAAAAAAAAGATTAAAATAAAAAATAAATATATATATGTATTCTGCAATCAGTTTTTTACGTGATAAATATTATCTTTCCGCTGTTTGAACTTCACTTCTTCATGTTCGGATGAATAAGAACAGTGAATAGCAAGAAAAATAATATCTCAGACAGACAAAAAAAAAAGAAAAAAAGGATAAATTTTTGTCTGTCAATCAATTGGACTATTCATTGAGGCTATTTTTTTTCAACAAGTCATCCGTTCATTTTGTTCAATGATAGCAGCGGACATAAACAAACAATGAACATATATATATATATATGCATAATAAGAAAAGCGTTAGTCAAACTCAATATGAATCAAACAAACGTTGGTCTTTTTGATTTACCTAATGAAATATTACTTATCATTTTAAAAAAGCTCGATAATATGGATGTTCTTTATTCATTGTTGGATGTTGATAATCAACGACTTGACATTCTAGCACAAGAAAATACTTTCACTAATACTCTCAATTTTGTATTAACAACATTAACTAATGATATTTTCACCCTCACACCTACAATAATTAATCGATTTTGCACATATATTTTGCCAAGAATTCATCACAATGTTAAATCTCTTATTCTTGATTCAGTATCTATGGAACGTATTCTTCTTGCTGCCGATTATCCTAATTTAACTGAACTTAAACTGTTTAATTTTAATGGTAAAATTGTTTCATATTGTTTTACAGGTAAATAACTTATGTATTGATCAAAGTAAAAATTTCGATGAAAAATTGTTGTATAGATAGATTAGACAATAACTATTTATTTTTGTATTTAGATGCATCACCATATGGACGTATTTTTCAACGACAAATTACAGATCTTATTCTTGTATTCGAAAAATATTTTAATGACATATCAGGAAAAAATTATACAACAGATGTGTATGAATATATTTTGAAATCCTTCGAAAATCTAAAACATTTATCTATTATTGGATCATATATTCAAGACATTCCACCTTTGGTACTTTGTAATTTACCTTTAACTACCTTCTTCTCTTCAACTCTTAACAAATTATGTATTCGTGTGGGAAGTTTTGAAGATTGTCTTGCTTTACTTGATGGTCGTCTTAAAAAACTAACAACCTTAATTGTTGTTATTAATGATATGGAATATGATTCATCAAATGTTTACAATACAGTAAGTTTATATTTGATTAGATAAATATTTTCACTTGAAAAACCAGTAATGTTGATCAGAGTAAGAATTGTTTTCCTGTTAGAATAGATAGATTTTTTTCGCTAATGAATGTCCTATGTATTTGAATCAACTATAATGAAATAGTTGTAGAATAAATACTCGTCTATTCGATGAGCAAAGATAGTCAATGATTTTGTATATGATATTTTCTTAATTATTAATTATTTCGTGCTTATGAATTCGATTTGGAGAAATAAATCGAATGACTGAATTTTATTTTAATTAACAAATTGTTTAGTATTGATAAGTTTTAGATTTCTTGATTAGTCATCATTGCAGAAGAATATGTATATATCATCATCATCATCGAGTAGAAGAAATCTTTAATAGAAATAATGCTTTTTAAATAGTTATTCATCTGAACTTTTTCTTATTTTAATTGATAATGATATATTTCAATTAATATTTTCTAGGATGATCTACCTAATTTAAAATGTTTTTCTTTAACAACATCTTTTTGCTTAACTGATATATATGATGCTCAAATTCCACGTCTTTTTCGTCGTATGTCAAATCTTGAAGAATTAACTTTGTACATAACTATCGAGGACCGAACTACATTTATCGATGGTACCGATATTTATAATGAAATTCTTGTTCATATGCCACGACTTCATTTATTTAACTTTTGTATTTGTACCGACACTAAAAAGGATCTTTTAGCTCATCATTTATCTAAAGATGATATTCAACAAACTCTTAGTAACATAAAATATCAACAAATGGATTGTATTGTAAACTACCGATATTCTACTGCCATATGTTATGTCTTTTCATTACCATTCATGTTTGAAATTCTCAGATTTATTGGTAATACATTTCCAACTATTGTTTTCAGTCATGTTAGAAGTTTATCGGTGAAAGATGATGTTCCATTCAAAGATGAATTTTTCTGTCGAATTGCTTGGTCTTTTCCTTTACTTGAAAAATTATGTGTTATTAATATTATACCACAATCATCAATATCAGATAAACAGACGTCTAATGATAATCAATTGCATTCAATTGTTAAATATCCTTATCTTATTTCGCTTCGTCTTCTGAATGTTCATATTGATTATGTCGAGCAATTTCTCAATGAGACAAAAACACATCTACCTCGTCTAACCAAATTAACAGTCAATTATAGTCAATTAAAAATTGTCACAAAAAAATTTAAAAGAGATACAACACGACTTAATTGTATCCAAATACAAGAATTATATATCAATGAAACAATAATACAACATAAAAAAAATTTCTATGTTTATTTTCCACTGTTACAACGCTGCTCTTTTTCTTGCTAAATTAATAAAATGAATAATGAAAACATTAATAATGTCTTTTCAATCGAATCAGATCAAGCAAGAATTATTCATTACAGATGCTTGTTAACTCTGAAATTGTGTTCCTATAATAAATGTTTAGGTTTTACATCTTGTATAAATGACATATGTCAATACAGATTAGTTTGTTGATCTCATATGTTTGAAATAGTTCAATAAACAAAAAAAAAACAAACAAACAAACAAATCGATTGTCTATTCATAATCAATGGTATATAATTGTAAAAGTGAGATATTGTTCTATATGGATTATTCATAGGGATAAGTGCAGACACCATGCACCAAATTATAGTGAAAGGTGCTGAAAATATGCCATGATGTCCATAGAATTTTGAAAAATAATAATATGGTGGTATGACTTTATTAGAAAAATAGAATGTCTTTTTCATGCATACTAATCGCAAGGACATTGTAAACATCGTTTGTTATCAGAATAATGTAATATAGATATAATCAAAAAAAATGCATACCGTGAGTGTGTAACTCTGATTATTTTCATCAAAAGCAAGTATAGTTGATTCTGTTATGAATAAAATACAAATTGATTCATTATATCTTTTATTAAAATAATAAAGTTTATTGGAATTGGTCAAGTCAATGTAGGTGTGGAGTTTGATGTTCACATGCAACGAATATTGAAAAGATTAGAAAAGTTATAATTCATTGAAGATGTGATGTTTTAGATATGCGTTCTTGTATTGTCAATCTCGTGCTTATATAAACGTATGTCAGAGTTCTATTTTGTTACAGTATAATGCTTTAGTTCTTTTCTTGAGAGTGCAATCAGCTGTTTTAAATATTTCCATAGTAAATATTTCGTTGGAAATTTTTATGTCATTACGGTCATAGTAGTGTGCTATGCCTTACTAAAAGATAATAACATATTCTTATGATATTTTGTCAACCTTATCTCAGGAATACATTCAATTAAGAAAAATATATGTAGTGATGAAATCTCGTAAGGATAGATGTCAGAAGGTATTGATGAAAAATTCAAGAGAACATCATTGGAGTGATTTCATCTTCTCATTTTTGCACGTAGAGTCTCCATCCATTCAATATCCCATCCTATATGTCAGCAAGTTATCAAACAGACTAATTTGTTTAAAACTTATGTTTTATTTTGTCTACGAATAAATTATTTAAAAAAACTAATTGATTGAATATAACTTTCTACTGCTAGTGACCAGTCAGATATTTTTTAGTTTGTACTTCGACCATTTATTAAAGGGAGGTCAATGATAAGTGTATGATTGCTGATTTTTTCGACCAATCAGATGTTTATGTAACTGTCGGAGTTTAGGGTATAGTACAATAATAAGTTTCTTAAAAAAAGAAAAGAAGTGTGTAATTTCGTTTCGAAATTATTTCCCTTTTCTAACTTCTTCATCGATTTTATGCTCCATGCTTACATTGATAGCTCGGATTAATATTTACTTTTCTTCCCAACGTATAACCCATTCTCTATTATCCAGCTTTTCCATCTCATCGAATATTCGTCAATATCGCTATATTGAAAGTCAAACACCCCATTCACCATCAAGTCATTATATAATTAATCTTCATTCTTGGAAATTAACTCATCAACCACGCGAACCCACTCTTCATTGGAGTTCTCGGTTTCGTCAGCAACAACAACAACAATTTGAAACAGAAGAACAAGAAGAAAATCAATCAAGTGAAAATTGGGATTCGTGGTTCCAACAACATCAATCATCTTTGCTTCTTCCATTTTCTCAACATCAACTTTATTTTCTTGATCATTCTCGTCTTACATCAATGCCTAAACGTCCAAGAGAATCTTCATCACCTATTCATATATCAAATAAACGCGAAAAATATTCACTGTGTAAGTATTTGAATAATTAGTTCTTGTTTTATTCTAAAATTAAAATATTCTAGTCGAAACTAATCTTCCAAAACGCACATGGATCAATACAAACTATGAAGAACGTTTAATTAGAAGTCGTTATTATCATTTTAATTTTCATATAATGAGCTATAATATTCTTGCTCAAAGATTAATTGAAGATAATCCATCTTTATACGATAATTGTCTAGAAAGTAATCTTGAATGGCATCGACGAAAAGAACGTTTATTAAGGGAAATATTAAAACAAGACGCTGATGTATGTTTTTTTTTTGAAAAGAATTACTAGAAAAAAAAAAGATTTTCTATTTTTATTCCTTTAGATTATTTGTTTACAAGAAATGCAAAAAGATCATTATAAACACGATTTTCGACCAAAAATGGTTGATCATGGTAACACAAAAAAACTATTCATTTAAAAATTTCTTAAAATCTTTGTAATTTTTTTAAGGATATAATTCAATTTATATAAAACGTTCTGGTGATAAATCAGATGGATGTTGTCTATTTTATAAAACGGACCGACTAAAATTAATCGCCAGTAAAACAGTACCATTCTATCAGAAGAATATTCAATTATTAGACAGGTAGATTTATAGCTGATCATTGATTGATATATTCAAAAATCGCATAAAAAGCTTATGAAGGAATATCCCTAATTATCGAACACCGTCTGATTACATGCAAAATAGGAAAGACAAGTTAATAGAAGTAGAATAAAGCCTATTTTTTTTTCAACTTATGACACAATAAGATTTGTGAGCAAGCATGTCATTCGGAAGAGATAATTGAAAATGTCACCTCATTAGATTTCCACGGTATAAATAAAGAATTTCTTTTGACTTTTTGTTTTTGTAAAAATCGAATAATATTTCAAAAATTTCGATCTAATTTATAGAAAAATATTAATCTGCCTATGTATTTTTTCCAGAGACAACTGTGGTTTAATTGCTCTATTTCAACCAATTACACCAAATGCTACATCAGACGATTTATTTTGTGTTGCTACAACTCATCTACTCTTTTCACCAAAACGTGGTGATATCAAATTAGCTCAAATACAATATTTTCTTGCTGAAATCGATCAATTATCAGTTAAAGATTCTACTTTAAATTCTTATTATCCCATTATTGTCTGTGGAGATTTTAATGCACAACCTCAATCTCCACTTTCAAAATTTCTAATCAATGGGCATATTAAATATGATACATATCGTTGTATTGAAATCTCTGGTCAAATTCCAGAATCAATTGTTAATAATCGTTTTTCTTTTCAACTTCCATCAAATGAACTTCTACCATCATCATTTGTGACTTCTGATTGTCGTTTTCCAAAAGAGATTTCATCAAACAAAAAAGATCAACTTATTTTTCAAACATATATGAATCGAACATCATCAGCGATATTAACACATAATAAAAAATTTAATTCAGTTTATGATTTAAATGATTTATCCGAAGTCACAACATGTATTGGTAATGAATCAAATTTAGTTGATTATATATTTTATACAAAAAAGGATAATGATCGACATAGATTAAATTTATTAAGTCGATATGATTTATATCAACAAAATCAATTGTTAAATCTTCATTTACCAAATCATCAATTTGCATCGGACCATTTTTTGTTAGCAGCTAAATTTGCTTTAAAATTGAAAAAGAAAAAAAAATAATTGACTTTATTCGCTTATTTCTGTTTTCTTGTATTTTTGTTTTTAAATTGAACTTGTAAAATTATTCGAAAGCATTTTTGTCCTATTTATAGATGACTAGTGTAGAGGCATTTGTTGAAAAATGTCGAGAATTAATTGAACTTGAACGTGAAGAAGAAATAAAACAATCAACGTAAGATTGAATATATATTTTCAAAAAGAAAAAGACTTTTTATTGTTATTATGATTCATAGAGAAGCATTGAAAGGTCAATCAATAAAACGTCTTGCTGAACGAGGATTATGTCTAACACGTCTTCGTTTTCAATATACATATACAGGTCTATATGGTCGAACAATTCTTGTTTTCGAAGGCGAATCTCTTTCACGTGTTCAAACATTTGGACCAGGTTTGTTTCTTAGAAAAAAAAAAAAAATTTATTTTAAGGAAATTACTTTCATTTTCTTCAGGTGATATTGCTGCTATTTATCAACAAGGACATTCAATTGATGAACAAACTTCATTAGCTCATGGTCTTATATTTCGTTTAACAGCAAATACAATACATATAGCTATTGAAGAAAATGATAATGAACAATTTAATTTGTTAGGTGATACTTGTCTTTTTATGATTATTAAAATGGCCAATGATGTGACCTATCGACGATTAAGACAGTATGTTAGAGTTTAAACGACATTCAAATTTAGAAAATAGACATAACTATTGTATATCATAGGGTGCAAATTAAATGACTGTAGATCTTAAATAATTTAAATATAAGAAATTTGTTCGAATTTTTACTTGTGAATACACACTATAGAAATATACGCTCCATATTTTATTAAATATACAAATGATAGTAGGATATAAACTCCGAGATGAAACTAAAATATAATTTTTAACAATAACACATTCAAATCAGTTACAAAATGAATTCAGACTCGTTATATGTAGATAATTTATTTTCTTATTCAAAATAATTATTCATTTCATAATATTAATATTTTCTAGTGGTCTTACATTAATGGTAAAACAACGTCAAGGAATCGCCCATCATTTACTTGATATTGCATTTGATAATGCTGATCCAATTCCATCAAATTTTCCTGAGAGGACTGGTCCATCACAATGGTTTAATGAGAATCTCGATCAATCTCAACGAGAAGCCGTTAATTTCGCATTAGCTTCACGTGATATATCCATCATTCATGGACCACCGGGCACTGGTAAATATGGTTCTTTTTTTCATTTTAATTTTAAATTATGAAATAATTTTCCTAGGTAAAACAACAACAATTGTTGAATATATATTACAAGAAGCATTAAAACGTGATGCAAAAATTCTTTGTTGTGCATCATCAAATATAGCTGTTGATAATCTTGTTGAACGTCTCGGAAGAAAAAAACAATTGAAACTTATTCGTCTTGGTCATCCAGCACGTTTACTTGAATCAATACAATGTTTTTCATTAGAATCAATTGTTATGGAAAATTATCAAGATGTTAAAAATGCTATACGTGAAGATTTAAATCAATGTTTTGTAAGATTAAATTTTTCTTTTATTGATTTTTCTTTAATTTGTTATTTTTTATTCAA